GAAACGGGACTGGACTTCCAGTTGGCAGAGGAAAAAGGATGCCACCTTAGGAGGAGACTCTATGGTGGGGGAACCGACCTTCCGGTTGGCAGAGGAAAAAGGACGCCACACTAGGAGAAGACTCTATGGTGGAGGAACCAGACCTCCAGTCAGCTCCAGAATTGAACAGGGGCTTCCGGTTAGGACTTTTGTGGGTCTTTGAGTGTTTAAGGTTGCCGATCCCTGTCCTAGAGTTTTGAAGCAGCCTACTTTTAGCAGATCTTATTAGCCTCCATCTAAATCTAATGATCAATTTAACAGTCCTTTTGCCTCATTAAAAGGATATGAGAACCTAGTAAGTGGTTTTTTCCTCCAACAGTCAACCAAACCAAGTGGCTAAAATATTTCTGTAAAACTGTGGCCTTCACATGGACAGGGATTTTAGATTGGGAGCCAAAGCAGTATTGTAGCTTTTAAAATATTCTCTCGTTAGAGCCAGTTAACTAAAGACACTCGCATCCATGATGACTACTTGGCTATGAAACGCTGAGAAGGGAACCAAAAAGAGAACACCATTGATCAATCAACAACACATATTTAAACATATCTAGGCTTTTAACATACCAAGGATTCCTAAAACACATGGGGGAAAAAAAATCCCCTATACTAAGTCACCATAGCATAGAGTTTTAAAACCGAACACTCACCTCTACAAAACTATTAGTTATTAAATGCTGGTACTTTAATTTAACTTTTGAATCTGTGATCAGGCGCCTACAAAGAGAAGAGAAAGATAATATTCCATTCAGAAAACCTTGTTCCCTTTAAAGCCCAACCTTTTAAAGCTTTCAAGGAAAACAAACAGTCTCACTTAGCAATCAAACCGCAATATTTTAAGGAGTGGCTCTCCCCAAACTATCTTGCCCGTGCATTGCCCCCCCTCCCTGAGAGGTGCCAGCAACGAACTCGGTCAAATGCCAGGCGAAAAAGGAATGGGTTCGACTGAGGCAGTTTAAACTCAAAGGATTTTAATCGGACTATTTCAGATTTACGAATCAGGAAACAAATGGCTCGAATGTTTATATAGGAGTTAGACATGGGAACACCAAACTCCCCTGCAGTAATGTAATCTCCTCCCCCCCTCCCCAGTTTAACATGCAAATGCTAGAATCATTGTTCCTATCACCCATCACCTCCCTCTTAGGATTGCATGACTGTATCTTTGTTGCTTATGTCCTTACAACTTATATTGTTTCCTAGTATGATTTGATTGTTTATTTGTCCCCTATGACTATCATTAAGTGTTGTACCTTATGATTCATGATGAATTTATTTTTTCTTTTATGAGAGCATATACATCAAAGACAAAGTCCTTGTGTATCCAATCACATTTGACCAATAAAGAATTCCATTCTATTCCTTCCATATTCTATTCTATTCTATTCTTTCCATATTATATTATATTCTTTCTATTCTAATTCCATTCTATTCTTTCCATATTCTATTCTATCCTATTCTTTCCATATTCTATTCTTTCCATATTCTATTATATTCTAATTCCATTCTATTCTTTCCATATTATTTTCTATTCTCTCCATATTCTATTCCATTCTCTCCATATTCTATTCTATTCTTTCCATATTCTATTCTATTCTAATTCCATTCTGTTCTTTCCATATTCTATTCTATCCTACTCTTTCCATATTCTATTCTATTCTATTCTTTCCATATTCTATTCTTTCCATATTCTATTCCATCCTATTCTTTCCATATTCTATTGTTTTCAGATTCTATTCCATCCTATTCTTTCCATATTCTATTCTATTCTTTCCATATTCTATTCTTTCCATTCTATTATATCCATATTCTATTTTATTTCATTCTATTTTATTTTATTCTAATTCCATTCTATTATTTCCATACTCTTTCCCTATTCTATTCTATTCTATTCTATTCTATTCTATTCTATTCTATTCTCTAAGAGACTATTGAGAAAGGACCTCTGAAGTCACTTCGAAAGGGTTACGACAGCCACCTCAAAAGGGCCAAATGGATACATTCAAACCCGACATATTTTTATTCCTGGAAAGGATTACGCAAGAGCCCAACCGTGTCAAGCAAGGCTGTGAGGCCATGAATTGGATTTATGAGATGACCTAATTTGGGCTTCAGAGTCCCTCTGCTTTGCTTCAAAGCCCTGAGAAGTTCGGTCCCAATTTTGGGTGGCTTAAGAAGAGAAACAAGGCTTAACAACCTCAATCAACACAGTTCAAAGCCCGAATTTTACACCACCGTTCTTCATCCCTCTGTCCCTTTATCTGCTTCCACCCCGCTCCCTTCTCATTATGACCCTCTAGCAAAAGTACAGGTAGTCCTAGACTCGCTTAGTGACCGTTCCAAGTTACAATGGCACTGAAAAATGTGACATGACCATTTTTTCACTGGATCGTTGAAGCATCTCCTTGGTCAGGCGGTCAAAATTCAGATGCTTGGCAACAGACTCGTATTTATGACGGTTGCAGGATCCCAGGGGTCATGTGATTTCCCCTTGGGTGACCTTCTGACAAGCCAAGTCAATGGGGAAGCCGGATTCCCTTAACAACCGACTAACAACTAACTCAACCACTGCGGCGATTCCCTTAACAACGGGGCCCAGGAAGGTCGCAAAATGGGACTCACTTAACATAAACTCACTTAACAACTGTCTTGTCTCATAAACTCACTTAACAACTGTCTTGCTTAGCCATGGGAATTTTGGACTGAACTGTGGTCGTATGTCGAGGACTATTTGTACAGGAAAAGAGGGGCCTGATGCTGCACCTTCATTCTTGATCAAACAATGGAGTAAGTAGCACTTGGTACCTATCAGGAGCACTTAAGATTTATATACCGCTTCGCAGTGCTTCACAGCCCTCTCTAAGCGGTTTACAGAGTCAGCCTCTTGCCCCACAACAATCTGGGTCCTCATTTTACCCACCTGGAAAGGACGGGAGGCTGAGTCAACCTTGAGCCTGTCAGGATCGAACTCCTGNAACGGTATAGGGTTTCCTGCCTAGGCAGGGGGTTGGATTAGAAGACCTCCAAGGTCCCTTCCAACTCTGCTATTGCATTGAGATATAAACAGTGTGCCTTTGGTTTTTCTGATATTTGGCTTTATTTCACGTTAAGTAGCATTTACAATATGAGTACAGGTAGTCCTGACTGCTCTTTAGAAGATCAAATCCTGAAGAGGAAACTCAAAGGCTTTGGCCACCTAAGGAAAAGGAAGGACTCACAGGAGATGAGCCGAATTCTGGGAAAGACTGAGGGCAAGAGAAGAAGAAGGGGATGTCAGAGAAGGAGGTGGCTGGATGGAGTCACCGAAGCAGTTGGCATGAGCTTCAATGGACTCCAGAGGATGGTAGAGGACAGTTAAGGCCTGGAGGAACATTGTCTATGGGGTCCCAATGACACAACTTCGCAACTAACAACAAAAGTTCTTGACTTACAACACTTCCATTTAGTGACCATTCCAAGTTACGACGACACAGAAAAAACCGACTTATGAACCTTTTTCACAGTTACGACCATTGCAGCAGCCCCCAAGGTGACATGATTAAAAATCAGGCGCTTGGCAACTGACTCATATTTATGACGGTTGCAGTGTCCCCCGGGGGGTGTGTGTGTCGTGTGATCAGCGGAGAAGGCAGATCCACTTAAAAACCACGTGACTAGGTTAACAACTGGAGTGATTCACTTAACAACAATGGCAAGAAAATGGGGCAAAAGTGTCTCGCTTAGCAACTGAAAATTTGGCCTCATAAGTCAAGGACTGCCTGTATTTGACAAAGGAGATAAAATTTATTAATTTTTTAAGGCACGACTGTGCAGCCTTTGCTGTCAGTGAATAAAAGATGTAAAAGAAACTTTGAATGGAATATACTACTAAACTATTAAAGAACTACTAAAAGTTTTATTCCCCATCCAGGCTATACCGTCCCTGCTAAATGTAGAACACCATAACCTATTTATTCACTGGTGAGACTGCTGATAAATCAAATTTTATTTGGCTGTCAATCCCACGCACACATTATCTGGCAGTATTTCATGAACGCCTCATATATTCTTTCCAATTCTGTCTCATATGCTGTATGCAAAGAAGGGTCAGGTTCCTGTCTGTATTATTTTAGTGCTAATGTTTACCTCTTTGTACCATTCATTAAAGCCAGTATCATTATTACAGCTAGGAAGAAGGGGGGGGGGGAAATGAGCAGAAATGGCTTAGAAAAAAACTCATGATGGACCAAATGATCTCCACCGAGGAAGTCTATTAGTGTTCTGACCTAGGCTCCCTTAACAAGCATGAAGCAATTAGTCTTGGTCCTGGCAAAACCCCTTTTATTTACACGACTATGAATTCCTTTCATTCACAGTCAGNCGCCTAGGGAAGAACTAGAACTCACAATCTCCTGGTGATTGGCCCAAAGTCACCAAGTTGACTTTCACGCCTAGGGAAGAACTAGAACTCACAACCTCCTGGTGATTGGCCCAAAGTCACCCAACTGGCTTTCATGCCTAGGGAAGAACTAGAACTCACAACCTCCTGGTGATTGGCCCAAAGTCACCAAGTTGACTTTCATGCCTAGGGAAGAACTAGAACTCACAATCTCCTGGTGATTGGCCCAAAGTCACCCAGCTGGCTTTCACGCCCAAGGCAGGACTAGAACTCACTGTCTCCTGGTTTCTAGCCTGGTGCCTTGACCACTAGCCTCACAGTGCTTCCTTTCAAAGTGTCTCCATAGACATTTAACCACTAGTCTAAACTGCCTTTCCTTCACCCAGCTTCCAGAGGCTATCTGAGGTGGGCTTCGGTTCCATGCTTCCCTTCTCCCCATAGATCTTAAAAGGAAAGGCCCAAGACAGCAAGACCCCACCCGGTTTTTCTCAGCAACTTCTCGGTTTCTACTGCTGGTGGTTCTGAAAAGTGCCAACAATACAAATTCTCAGCTGCTTCCCAATATTTTTTTATTTAGGGGGGGGGGGTGTTCATCAAAGGAACAGTTGGGAGCATGATGTCGCCCTTCCTTTAAAAATCTTCATTTCCGTATAAAGACAAGATGGGAGACTTTTACCTGTCCCATGCCCTCCTCCATTATTTTGGTAGTTAAATATTCACTCCAGCACTGCATGCAAAACTTATGTCCACACTCCAAGCCAGTGAAATACTGCAAAGACAAATCGTGGTTAGCGTTATTCTTTTTCACAGCTCTGAAACTGTAACGGTAGCATCTTTCTCGGGTCCAGAATAACACAGCGCAACCATTGAACCTCGTGGGCTTCGGGGGAGGTCTCCCACCTCCCCCAAGGGTCTGCCCCAAACATTCATCTCAGCAGCCACTGACTAGGAAATGCACGCAGAATCCCTGGCAACCCTCCCCCCCAGTATCCCAATCAAGGCTGCCACCCTTCCTGCGCTTTTCGCACTCAATGTAATTTAAGATGGCTAATGAACAAGCTGGCGTATTTGCCAAAATCTCCCATTAAGGCAACATATTTAGAACATGTCCAAATGTTGGAATTTTTAATTTGTATACTTAGAATAGAATAACAGAGTTGGAAGGGACCTTGGAGGTCTTCTAGTCCAACTCCCTACTTAGGCAAGAAACCCTACACCGCTTCAGACCAATGGTTGTCTAATCTCTTCTTTAAAATTTCCAGTGTTTGAGCATTCACAACTTCTGGAGGCTGATTAATTGTTCTAACTGTCAGGAAATGTCTCCATAGTTCTAAGTTGCTTCTCTCCTTGATTAGTTTCCACCCATTGTTCTTCTCCTGCCTTCAGGTGCTTTGGAGAATAGCTTGACTCCCTCTTCTATGCAGCCTCTTTTTTGGGGGCAAAAAAATGGGCCGCTTTTGGGAAATCTGCAGAGTGCTAAAACTTTTTTTAAAAAATTGCCTCTTCAAAATCTTGGTGCGTCTTATACTCTGAAAAATATGGTAGTTAAGGATGTATGTATGTATGTATGTATGTATGTATGTATGTATGTATGTATGTATGTATGTATGTATATTCAAGTTATAGGTTGCACAATTTGGAAGGCACTCACCGAATTCGGATAGTTGAGATAGCAGATCTGACACGGCATGTCCTGGGCAGATGATCTGGTGTTCATCTGACGTGTTCGAGACTTTTTACTAGGATTAATGACGTGACATTCCGCAAAGAGCTTCTCCAGGTTGCCATCAAAGTACCTACCCAAAGAAGAATGAAGCTTAATGAATAATGATAATAAAAAAATCCCTCTGAAAAATCCACCTTAAAAAATAATAATGCTGAAAACAATTCCAGCCGGCAATGCAGGAGCTCTGGGGCCTATATGCAAACTCAAAGTTTTCTGTGTTTTAATTCATCTGTTAGCTAGAAGAAGCAGATGGGCTTGCTTATCTAAATCCACAAAACTATTGCTCGTGTTTCTGTTTTTAAAACGACAAAATGCACTGTGAAAATAGTGGTAGGCCACCCTGCTACAAAGGGTCACTTCAGGGCACAAATCCCTGTTGCTGTGTAAGCATCTAATGGGTTTATGGATATATTTTTTCTCTCTCTCTTTCTCTCTCTCTGTGTGTCTTTCTCTCTCTCTCTGTCTCTGTCTTTCTCTCTGTCTCTCTATGTCTTTCTGTCTTTCTCTCTGTCTTTCTCTCTGTGTCTTTCTCTCTCTGTCTCTCTCTCTCTCTGTCTTTCTCTTTCTATGTCTCTCTCTTTCTCTATGTGTCTTTCTCTCTCTCTCTGTCTTTCTCTCTCTATGTCTCTCTCTGTCTTTCTCTCTCTATGTCTCTCTCTGTCTTTCTCTCTCTATGTCTCTCTCTGTCTTTCTCTGTGTGTGTGTGTTTGTGTCTCTCTTTTTGTCTCTCTCCGTCTGTGTGTCTGTCTCTCTTGCTTTGTCTATCTCTCCCTCACTCTCTCTCTCACACACACACATATACAATCACATTAAATTTACAAATAAATACAAGCTGTAACTAAAGAGTTGCCTTCCATCTTGCCAAACGCAACTCTTGATACAATCAATGCCAGTGGGGAAAACTGAAGGGTCAGGCTAGGAACAGACCGTCCTGGAGAAAGAGGATCGCAGAGAGTCAACTTCAATGTCATCTTTATCATCACAAAGACTCAACATCAATTTGATGACCCAACACCAATCAATAAACACATTAAAAAATATTCAGCCACAGGAATGCAGCCCCGTGTACAAAAGCTTTCAAAATAACATTGTCTTCAGCAATTAAACATTAAATTAGAACTGTTAATAGACAACACAACATTTTCCTTCCTTCTGTTGGTTCAGGAGCTCAAGTTATGCTTCTAGAAAAAAAATCTCAAACTGGATCCATTCTCCCTGGTGATGAAGAAACATTTTCTAGCCTACCAGGTTGTCTTAAAAGTGATTTGAAATTAGATATCAAAAACTAAAAGTGAAAAATCGTTCCTTCCACAGATTAATGCTTGTAGATAAACTCTCCAACACGAAAAATATTCCAAATGCCTGCAAAGCCCTCATATTTCAAGAGATGCTGAACAGACCATCCTATCAACTCCAAAATTTCTAGGGAAGGTTGTAGAGAATGCTGGTATGATTAATTGCAACTAGATAGGGTAAAGGTTCCCCTCGCACATATGTGTTAGTCGTTCCTGACTCTAGGGGGCGGTGCTCATCTCTGTTTCAAAGCTGAAGAGCCAGCGCTGTCCGAAGACGTCTCCCCTGGTCATGTGGCTGGCATGACTCAACGCCAAAGGCGCACGGAACACTGTTCCCTTCCCATCAAAGGTGGTTCCTATTTTTCTACTTGCATTTTTTACATGCTTTCGAACTGCTAGGTTGACAGAAGCTGGGACAAGTCACGGGAGCTCACTCCGTTACGCGGCGCCAGGGATTCAAACCTCCAAACTGCCGACCTTTCTCGTCGACAAGCTCAGCGTCTTACCCACTGAGCCACTATGTCCCTTTTGCAACTAGATAAAGCCAGTCAGTTAATTATACTGATAAGGCTCCTGACTATAGTTGTGAGTTAAGCATTTTAACTCGTAAGGCCATTTTGGGCGCCTTTCCAAGTTTGGATTTCTTTATCACACTCAGAAGTCTGTTAACTAAACAACCATATTTTGGCCCAACAGATAAGGCCAAAGCCACATTATATCTCGTGACATAAATTTTACTAAGCTAGTTCCGATACTAGGGCAGCTAGCACTGACGCAGCTCATGTCTCTATGCCAATTGTTTCTATTAAATTTTTTTTTTAAATCCCTTTTATCTCATGTTACAAATACCTTAACTTTATTCCATAACAAATTCCAAACTGTTAGCATCTTTGGTTAAGGATGGGCGGCATAATGGCGCCACACATTTTTTTAAGTATGTGGTGAGAGATATGGAATTATACCACCCAGGCTGAATTTATGAATTGGGTAAGGAATTTTTCAAAAGAACCAAACCATTAATTTTCCAATAACTGGCCCAAATAAAGACACATTTTTCCTCCTCTCCTCCCAAGGGACCTCAATGGGCGTCTTTGATTTCTAAGTAGCCTCAAATGTCAAGGGCCTGGCTCACAAACAGCCCATTTTCTACTCCTTATTTGTTTAAAGAATGTAAGAATCACAAGAGTTGAGTTCTTGCTATTCTGGCTACCCAGGAGAAAAACCAACTAATTATCAAAGAGTTATTTTTTTTTCTGATCGAGTTTAACTATATCAGTCAGTTGCGCCATTGCCTCATTGTTGCAGGATGGAGAACCAATTTTAGGAATACGTTTCTAACCAATAATGCAAACGTTGCAATATTTATTGTGAAGCTTTCTTAATGGCTGCCTCCGAAGGAGGAAAATAAACCAACCCCTTACATATAATCCCTTGAGAACAACAAACTTCTCCTAGCCAACCTCTTGCCTTTTCCGCCCATCCAGTCATCGGCTACAGGACTGCAAAACTTGGCAACTTTAAGACCTATGGACTTCAATTCCCAGAATTCCTCTGCCAGCTATGCTGGCTGAGTACCGTATTTTTTGGAGATACACATCCCCCCCCCCCAAAAAAAGAGGGTGCGTCTTATACACTGAATATAGCATTTTTGGCCCCCTGAAACCCTGCCTGCTCTGCAAAAATGGACGTGCAGAAGGTTTGGGAGGCTTGCAAAGTGCTCCTGGGGGCTGGGGAGGGCAAAATCGAGCAATAAAACGGGCGTCTTCTGCCCCCCCAGCATGCAGGAGCACTCTACAAGCCTCCCAAAGCTCTGCATACCCCCCCTTTTTGTGCAAAAAACAAGGTGTGCAGAGGGTTTGGGAGGCCTGAAGAGTGCAAAATCTTTTTAAAAAAATGTATCTCTTCAAAATCATGGTGCGTCTTATATTCCGGTGCGTCTTATAGTCTGAAAAATACGGTAATCCCGGGAGTTGAAGTCCACAGGTCTTCAAAGTCACCAAGTTTGGAGATCCCTTGACCAAGACCAACCTCCAATCCATGTACACACAAACACACACACCCTGCCACACACACACACTTACCTCTCCATCAGTTTTTCTTTATCCCAGTTGAAATGGCTGAGGAGTATCCTGGTGATGGTGGCCGGATTCTAGAAGAGGAAGAAGGAAAGTCATTTTAAGAAATGGGAGCAGCAGCTCTGCCCTTTCTCCCAAAACTTCATCCCCACCTCTCCCAATCATATCTGATATAACCGGCATAATTTATTTCAAAGGCAAAAGTCCAAGTTGAAACCAGTTGCCTGGTCAATAATGAGAGAAATCTAAAATTGTGGAACCTAAAATTTTTCCTTATGGCACTTTTGGCTGTGGAATACGTCTCACAGAAGTCCCCAGTCCGCTAAAACACACCAGAGACTAAGGATACTGGTGGGCTTTCTGAGCTTGGTTGTTTTCTTCCAGATGTTTCATGACCCAACTAGGTAACATCATCAGTGTCCAAAGGAAGTGGGATTTGCAGAGTGGAGGAGGAGGAGGACTGCTGTGGGGGTCCTTGGTGCTCTCTGAGCTTGTTTTCCTTGCAGGTTACCAACTAGGTAATATCATCAGTGTTAGAAGGGGGAGGGGGGAGGATTGTGGGGTCCGTGGTGTTCCTGGGTGTTGCCTTGCAGATGTTTCATTTCCCAAACTAGGGCTAGAAGGGAGTGGGGGGGGTCTGTGGAGGAGGAGGATTGTGGGATAGCTTGGTTTTTATTCTTGAAGATGTTTCAACATTCAGACCAGGTAACATTATCAGTGCTAATGAAACGGTCTGCAGGAAAACCACCCAGCTCAGAGAGCACCAAGGACCCCTCGTTTCAACCCTGAGCTACAAATAATTCTCCTTTATTGGTACGTTAGATGAGAACACGGAGCCTGTACAATAATGGGGACTCCCCCTCCCCCTAAATACACTAGATCTAGAATGCTTGGCTTCAATTCATTTTCTTTCTTAATACATTCAGGCAATGTTAAGACCAGACTCCCAACAGGCTAACTCAAGAGTCCGACTACCACGTTTTCCCGAAAATAAGACAGGGTTGTTGGGAATATAATCTAACGGTTGGGTTGGCAATATATAAATCATGTAACAATGCTATACCTGTTTCTTTAAATCATACTGTAAAATGTAAACGGTTGCTGTTTTCCTCAATCGGCCATAAGGAGGAGCCAGAATGACTGTTACCTCTCTGTTCGTTAGATGCTGGGCTGATCTGATCTGAGTGTTTTTGGAAGCTGGCTGTTAGAAAGTGCCGTGAGCTATTGTAGGTTTTGCAACTGGTAGCAAACTTTGTATGCCGGACTGATTATATGATTATTTGGATTATCCTTTAATTGAAAGACGTTGATGACTGACTGACTGTCTTATCCGTGTATGACTTGGACTGTTTGATGGACTCTGATACCTCTATTTCCACGAAAGTAAAAGCCTATTTAAACTGCAGTGTCTGTGTATGCTGGTTTTTGCGTGTTCTCCAACACAACTCTCACAACGCTTCTCTGAACGTACTTGCTCTCCCAACAGGGAGCTTACCTAACACCGCAGACCAAATGCATTATGTACTGGCCACACCTGCTCCCGGTTTAGCGAAGGGGTGGAAAGTCACAATAAGTCATGGGACGACAACATGACACCCCGGGTTTAAGTTGCTGCTAGTTAACCTAAATTGTGAGTGAACACTCGAAAATCAGGGTGTGTTATAAATGCCGTAATGTTGTTATTAAAATATTGTGGGATTTCCAAGTAGAAACTGACTATGCACATGACACACCAGATGTAACGGTGGTTGAAAGAAGAAGGTGTGGATAATGGATGTGGCAATACCACGGGGTAGTAGAAGAGAAGAGAAAGAATTGGAGAAGATCACAAAGTATCAAGATCTGAAAATCAAGGTTGAAAGATTAAGGCATAAACTGGCCATCATGGTCTCAGCAGATAACGGTATACTCCTGAAAAAGCACATTTGGGACAACCATAACCTAGATGACTAAGAATCTCTACAGACCTCTGTCTGGACAGTGGGGAATGGAAGGAT